CTCTTCGTTCTTCGTTCATCATTCTTCCAAGATCAAGCCCCGACGGCCCTTGGATCAACAATCATCCACCTTCAAGATCAAGCCCCGACGACCCCTTTGAAGAACTTCCACCAATTCAAAATCAAGCCCCGACGGCCCTTGAAGAAAGTGTTCATTGTTTATCATCCGTTCATCCCGAAGAATCAAGAAAGCCTTCTTCGTTCTTCGTTCATCGTTCTTCCAAGATCAAGCCCCGACGACCCTTGGATCAACAATCATCCACCTTCAAGATCAAGCCCCGACGACCCTTTTGAAGAACTTCCACCAATTCAAGATCAAGCCCCGACGGCCCTTGAAGAAAGTGTTCATCGTTCATCATCCGTTCATCTTAAGATCAAGCCCCAACGGCCATTTGGATCAACAAATCCACACATCCAACCGTTCTTCAAGATCAAGCCCAAAAGCCCTTGAAGATCCATTCATCACTGTTCTTCAAGATCAAGCCCAAAAGCCCTTGAAGATACATTCATCACCGTTCTTCAAGATCAAGCCCAAAAGCCCTCGAAGATCCGTTCATCACTGTTCTTCAAGATCAAGCCCAAAAGCCCTTGAAGATCTGTTCATCACCGTTATTCAAGATCAAGCATCAACGGCCCTTGAAGAAACTTTCAACCATTCATCCAAGATCAAGCCCCAACGGCCCTTGGATCAATCGCACATCCACAAATCAACACCTTACGGAGATCGAATCAGATGATCAAATTTGAGAGAGATTGTAACCCAAAATCATCAAATACAAATATTATTTTGTGCACGTTCTTGTCTCTTTCGTTTCAGGAATATTTCGTGTTTACAATTTTATAAGGTCATTTTGGTTCTAGTCCCTAGTTAACTAAATTATTAGAATGAAACCTTATTTGTTTAAATAATTTGATCAAGGTCTCTAGCATTATGTAAGAAATTTAACTCCTGCATTTATGCATTCAATGTCCCACAAATTATGAAATTTAAACTAATTCAAATAATATTTTACAATATAACAATTACTTAAAAATTAATACTGGAGTAATATGATTCTTCACATAGTTTTAATATAAAAAAAATAATGTAACCCACATAATTATTAATATATTAAAAAAATAACTATTGATATATTTAAAACAATAAAATAAATAAATATAATTAGCATGGGTACTTTCACAAAAAAAAAAGGGTACAAATTAGTACATATTAAATTCAAAAATTATGGGTACAAATTAAAACTTAAAAGAATATTAATACAAATTAAAAAATGGGGTACAAATTATAAATTGAAATATATGAAAAAAATACTAAAAAAATATATTTGGAAATGATTAATAAATTTTTCATTTTTAAAATTATAAATCGACATATGATGATTTGTAAATAATTTAATATTTAAATAATGGTATGGAGAAAAGTGAAGGGACCTTGATAAAAAAAATGAAAAGAAATAAGGTCTCAATTAATAGGAAAAAAAAAGAATGAGAACCTAAGTTAGAGAAGTGGTACAAATGTTGGATACACTATGTACTAGTGTAATGATTTTTTTTATTCAATAATGCACTAAGCTGGCTGCTGGTATCGATTTGAGCTACTATTGGGCTAATTTCCTGGACTACAATATTGGGCTGCTATTCAATTTTTCAAAAATCTGAGAGATGGACCATACCTTTTGTTTTGGTCAACCACGCTGACCCTTACCACTGAAATAATAATTTTTTTTTTCAAACCAATGTTTTTTTTAATTAATGAAACCTCCCATGTCCCAACACAAAACTCCTGCCCGCCAAACAAACCACAGTTTACTTGTACCAAACGAGAAAATTTTTACTGAAAATGAGAGTTTCCTCCTTAAAACTTATTTTCTCTCACTTAAAACACATCCTTTTTATTTTTTCAGACATAAACTCCATTTACTAGAGTCCAACTAAGTAAATTTCCTTAACAAGCTTGGTATGTCAGTTTTTATAATTCTCGTGTTCCTAAAATACCCTCATAGAGTGTAACATGGGTTAGGTTTGACTTATAATTAATAATAAATTTTTCATTTTATTATTTTCAATGCAATTAAATGTCAATTAACCTATTATTTGTTTAGGCTTTTTTTTCTCAAATTTTTTTACCAAAAATTGTTTTATCATGAAACTAGCTTACCTTATTAGCATGCAATATATAATATATAAAAAATATTATGGTGTTTTACGTTGAGACATGGACAAAAATAATTGCTGTCAAAAAAATTATACAAAATAATGGTTGTATTTTTTTCTTTCCATAGAAACTAATTTACCTATCTATATGTTAGTACCCACTTAGAATAGAAATTCTGTAAAAATAATTTACCTACCCCATAGGTGTGATATTGTAAAGAAAAAATGTATATGATTACTTTGGATATTATAAGTAATAATATGACAGTATTATTTGTATAGGGAAATTAATAAGTAGATTGGTAAATTAGTATGTACTAAAAAAATGCAGATAAATTAGCTTGTAACAAAAGAATGTATGTAAATTAGTGATTTTTTTTAAATATAGGTAAATAGTTTGTATCAAAAGAATGTAGGTCAATTAGTTTGTATCAAAAGAATGTAGGTAAATTAGTGATTTTTTAAATATAGGTAAATAGTTTGTAATACGTGGTTTTAAAACAGGAGCTCAATTGCTCATTGCTAGTATAATTGAAGGTGAGTAATAATAATATTTATTGACATATGTAGGTCATTGTGGCATATGTTGTAAATATTTTATAAGGATATGTCATTTATTTGCCAACATGGCAGACTATTTGAATTTTGGATTTTATTTGGATGTTTAATATGAGGTGGGTTTTTGTCTAGACAATATTAGTTACAAGGGCCTATATCTAAACAACCCAATTTTTTATTCGAATAAATTGTAGTAATGGTCCCTCAATTTTAATCAAATTGGAGCAATGGTTTCTCAACTAAAAATTCATTACTATTGGTCCCTCAACTTATCAAAATGTGTAGCTATAGTCATTTTCATCAATTTCGTCAAAATTTTGTCAAAACAAGTTATGTTGGAATAACCATTTATATAATTAGGACCCCCTCAACTCATCAAAGTGTGTAATTATGGTCCTTTTTCTCAACTACATCAAATATTTTGTCAAAACGAGCTATGTTGGATGGACCATTGCTACAATTGGACTAAAGTTAAGGGACCATTTCTCTAGTTGAATTAAAGTTGAGGAACCAATGGGGATTTTTAGTTGAGGGACCATTTTTCCAATTGAGTTAAAGTTAAGGGACTATAGCTATAATTTACTCTTTTTTATTCTGTCTGAACATGAGTGGTATACTCTATATCATTATACAAGCATGAGGAGTTTTATTTTTAAGCAATGTTCTAAAAATCGGCCTAGGGGCTGGGCGGTGAGGTGTCGACCTAATTGGGTGCCAAACGGTTGACAAAATTGGAGAGTTGTTAGGCACCCGCCTGGGTGCTCCTAGACGGCCTAGGCGGTGTCTAGGCGGTTATCCCCGTTGCCTTCCACATCCGATCGCACCGAGTAATCGCAGATTCGTCGAGAAATCTGACGAGGGAGGGAAAGAGAGAGCAAGAGAGAAATTGAGAAAGGGAGAATGAGAGAGGGAGAAAGATTGTGTAGACAGGGAGAGAGATCGTGCAAAGAAGGATGGAGGTTGAAATGGATTATCTGTTGAAGAGAAGGGGATAGAAGAGAGAGTGCAGATGAGATTTGAGAGAAAAATGAGGATGTGGCTAATGTTTTGTTAGGGTTAGTAGGGTTTTTTATTATAAAAGTTTTTGACAATTATATCAAGCCCAACATCTTTTTTAAAGAATAAGGCCCAACAATAAGTAATAACTTAAATTTAATGGTCTTAACAATAACCCTAAAAGTTTATATAATGTCCATATTTTATGATAAATATTTATTTTTGTATGTTTTGCATTTGATTTTATTTTTCAAATTTTATATACAAGCATGGTTTTTTAAGTGTCAACATGCACTCACTTATATATTATATAACAAATTTATTTAAAAAATGCAAATCCTCCTAATCCGACTAGCGCCTAGCATCTTTTAGAACCATGTTTTTAAGTGACTTTACACTTGTATAATGATATGTGTTATATTACTCTGTGATCCGGTAATATTGAAAAATGCTAGGTAGGCTAAGTTTTTAGACAAACACAACATTTATGAGAAGATATTACTAGGTAGACTAAGTTTTTAGACAAAATTTACAAATCATGTATATGTCACCAATAAAAAAATATACATGTTAATCAATATTTAAACAATTTAATCATAACATCAATAATTACGTCATATTCGTATAATTTAAAAAATGTGAATTAAATAGATGGCATCTCTATCTATTGTTACCTATTCCAAAATGTTTCCCACCATTAGGGCTGGGTTTGGTTTTTTTTTTTTTTTTTTTTTTTTTTTTTTTTTGAAAAATGAAAAAAAATTGAAATATGAAATTTTAATATCTCCAACATAATCATAATATAAGCATTCCAATTAGAATCAAAAACAATGAAAATAAACATTTAAAGGTCAACTAGAATCATCAATCAAGTGTTCCAAAGTCCAAACTTAAAATAAACATCAAAGTTTAAGTCTTCAAAAAGTCCAAATTTAAAATAAACATCACACTTCAAGTCTTCTACACTTCATTGAGTTTAATTAAGATACAAAACATATAATAAGATTCAATTAGGGAACAAAAAAAATCACGATTCATAAAGCTTTCCCATACACCAATTACATAACATAAAACTGTACATAACAATATGACATCCACTAACACAATAATAAGACCAAGAATATGTCAGTGATCAAGAAAATGTCCCTAAAAATTATGTTTAAGAATCAAACCTACAAATGGTACTTTTAACCAAATATGTAAAAGTTATTTGAACAAAATTGATTGTAACAAGCATTCTTTGGATACAAAAGTGATATTAGGGACGGGGGAAGCAACAAAAAAGAACAGAAAAATCCGCACTTCGATAAATATCAATTAAATGAGCTACTAATCCATCTAGATGCAACCTACAAATCAACAAACAAATATGTACCACTTGAGCCCTCATATCTCGACACTATAAACAACCAATCATTATGAAACACCCCAACCCCTTTTATTTCTCTGCTCTCCCCGTAACCTCATCCTTCTTCTTCGTTTTCTCCCTCTGCAACCTCGTCTCTCTCTGTCTCTTCCTCTCCTGCACAGTGATCACTCAAGCATCACCTACAACTACATTCTTGGCTCGAGGTCGTCATCATCATCATCGTTGAACTGTCTCTTTCTCTCTCTCTGCTATCGCAGCAGCTCGTGAGCCCGAAAGCTTTCCGCGAGCTCCTTGACTAGTAAGTCACGGATCTCCCTTCTTCCTTCTTTTTTTGTTGTGTTAGTTTGAACTTAGGTAGAAATGGGTGAGTTCTAACCCTTTTCGTACCAAGGTTTGGAATTGGAGACATCACAGGCAAGCACACCAACTTCCGGCGGACCCGAGCACTTCGAGGGCTCTTTCCGTTCGCTCACGGCAGTTCCACGACGAAACGAGGGTGCCTAAATACTCTACTCTTTTCCCTCTTCATTTTAGTGTTTGTTTGGAACCCTAGTTTGCTAGAAAACCGTTCGCCGGAGCTGTAGCAACTCCGGTTTTCCCCTCCGGTATTTCGCAGGCCTTTTAGGCCACCCATCAACCTCGGGCCTTAGGCCCGTGCATGGATCAGCCCAAGACACCAGAAACCCAACCCGTTCCCTTTTTATTTTTAGTTACTTTTCTTTTTAAAACCCAAATACCTAAGGGGCCTTGGCTCGTGTACTAAACCCTATAGCCCAGCCCGTTTTCTTTTATTTTTTTTATTTTGGGTTTTAAGGGTCCCCGGGCCTTAGGGCCTCTTTCCTTTTATTTAAGGGCTTAAAGCCCAATTTCCTCCTTAGTCCTAAGGGCTTAATACCCGGCCTTGGGTTCTAGGTTTGCGGGCCGTGTGGTGCTGTGTGTGTGTGTATGTATGATTGTGCATGTGCGTATGTGTATATGTATGCACGTGTGTGCGTGTTACCGTGTGTGTGTGCATGTGTGTGGTATGTTGTGTGTGTGTAAGTGTGCATGTGTGCATGTGTGCTATGCATATGTACATGTGTGTTGTGCACGCATGTATGTGTGTTGTGTGTGGATTTGGGATTAAGCCCAAACCACCATTTTTATTCCTAGGCCTATCCAAACCCAAAACCCAATAGGTCCTAACCCTTTTTAACCCAAACTTTTTTATCTAGAAACCCAAAACCCTTAGGCTTAAGGCCTTCTGGTCTTTTTTTAACCAGGACCCTTCTTAGGGTAATTCGACGTTCTGAATTCGTTTCCAATGTCCGTTTTTCCAAATTCAATTGTTTTTATATAGTTTTATTTATTGGACTCTTTATGTGCTTAGCGGCAATTATTGTGACGCTTCCGTCTTCACTAGTGGCGCAGTTTTTTGCGGCTAAGTACTGTGAGTGGATCCCTTCTAAAATTTACATGATTTCATAGTTTAATTGCATAAATGAATAGCATGCCTTATGAGTTTATGATTTGATTTATGATAAGCATGTTTATTAAATATGTTGATTTTTGTCTCGTGTTTTTGGTGAGGAATTAATTGTTGGCCTATATTGAGCTATATTTAATATATCGTATTTTCTATAAAAACCATGAACTTGTAGACTATCTGATGGATGACGATAGGATGCTAGGACATGTTTTAGAAACCCCTCTTTATAGTATAGACGATGGATGACTTTATACTATGAAGTGGTTATTTATGGGAGGCGTAACTATTTGTGCGTACCTAGTGGACACTATACCGCCTGGGGCGAGGATATGGTGTTGGCATTTAGGCCAGGAGAAATAATCCCTAGCTATGGGCTGAGGGACACGGAGTAGGCATTGGGCCAGGAATTGGTAATCTCTGGCTACGGGTGCAGAGACCACAGAGCAGGCATTGGGCCGGAAGTTATATTTATTCAGTGATCTTACTAGCAGCACACCGCGCTTACGAGACGATCTACGAGATGATACATGCAATGATTGATATAATGTTTTTCCGCGTTATACCTGTCGAGATATTTTATGGCATGCTAGAGTTTCAAAAAAACCTATCATTTATTATGCTAGTAGTTTTCATTATTTATAAACCTGGGGGTTAGTATGTTCATAACTGTTTTCATATTATATATATATATATATGAACTTGGTCCACTCACCCTTGTTTTGCGCCCCCTTTCAAGATTTAGAATCGAGGCATACTATTCCGACGTCAACGCCTTTGCTTTGGCATATTCGAGTCCTCTCGGTGTAGGAGCCCCATCCGTTATTCATTAAATTTTATATTAATTCTTTTAGAACTCTAGTTAGTTGTATGCTCTGAACACGTTCCTAAATTTTTAATTCATTGTATTTTAAATTTCTAACTCTTATTTATTTCTTATTCTTAGCTTTTGTATCAATTAATGGCTTTTGTCACCCTCGGATGTCGGCCAGCACATGTCTATCCTGGTATTCGGGGAATATCAGGGTCGGGGCGTGTCACATTATTTGTCAAACACCTCCTCAGTATATTATACTTATAGCGTCGTTCATGCATCTTAGATCAAAACTTCAGGAATGACAACATTGTAAGCAAACACATTGTGGTCAAAAGACTGATAATTGAAAGTTGATACGGTAATGATAGCATTTCAATCAGATTCTTCTAATTGACAACAATAGTAGTAAGCATTATTATCATAGGAACAACAAAAACCACTAAAAGTAAAAGAAAATCGCAAAACTCATGAAATTGAAAAGCTGCAGAACCCATGAAATTGAAAATAAAATCTGTAGAACATGAGAAAAATTACCATGAGACTAACCTTGCAAAGGAAGTATTGTGGGTCGAGACTCGACGAGAGAAGTCGTGGGTCATGGGTCACGGGGGTGAGAAACTGAGAGTGAGACAGCGACACTTGCAAATCGGCAAGATGTGAGAGACTAACTAACTAAGAGTGAGATGGATCGCAAGTCGCTGGGAAGGAAGAAGATGAAGACTGATTGAGTTGAGAGAGAGTGTGCGAAGCGGCGGAGGTTGGGAACTGGGAATGAGAGGGTCCAAAGGCTACAAAGGATCAATGTTTTGGGTTACCAATACAAACGCAAGTCTTTCAAACTGAAAGGAGAACAAACGATGCCGTTTCTAGTAATAAAAGCATTTATTTATAATTAATTATAAAACGACGTCGTTTTGACAACACTTTGGTTTGGTTTCTGAACCCTAGAAATCGAACCGAACCAACCAGATTTGGTTCGATTTGGTTTAACAGTTTTGGTTTCATTTTTTCAGCCTCGGTTCGATTTTCAGTCCAGTTTTTTTTTCGATTTTCGATTTTTCAAACCCACCCGTACCCGCCGTGTTCTTTCTCCTAACACACTCTCCAATTGGTAGATGAAGTCATTTGAACAAAACTCATAGCTAGCCTGCGACATTGAGAAGGGAGAAGATGGGGATTCAAGGGCTTCAGCCGCTGTTGAGATAGATAACGGCGCCAATCCACATTAAGGACTTGGAGGGCACTTGCGTGGCAGTGGATGCCTACTCTTGGCTTCACAAAAGCTGCATGTTGACATTTCACCTTTAATTGCACGTGAACTAATCCAGGTGAAAAAGTAGGTACTTTTGGGTTAAAGATCACTATCTCTTTAGAGTATCAAATCTTCATATGGATTTAACTTTATCCTTAGTTCTAAGAATTTTGTCTCCTCTCTTGTTGACATTGTTGCTCCTTGAAGGTATTCAAGCAAGAGTATGCATGTCATGTGGTGGCTCCTTACGAGGCAGATTCTCAAATGACGTTCTTGGCTGTCAGCAAGCAGGTAGGTCAGCAGTTATCACTGAGGATTCAGATCTTATACCATTCGGCTGACCCAGGGTTAGTTATCTGTATAGCACAGACCACTTCTTTCTTTACTGTTAGAAACTTCTATCTGTGTGATATGATAATTCTTTCTGTAATCCAGATTATCTTTAAAATGGACAAATTTGGGCAAGGTGTTGAGTTTCAATATTCCATGCTACATCGGAACAAGGACTTGACTTTTTCTGGATTCACAAAACAGATGCTTCTGGTGATGTGTCTTCTGAGTGGTTGTAACTATTTAAAGTCGTTGCCTGGAATGGGACTGAAAAAGAGCTCACATCCTCATCAAAAAGTTCACAAGTTATGACAAGGTGAAGTTTATTATTTATGCATTCTATAAATTTTGGAAAACAGACCGACATCATTTGAATAATTTTGTTGTAAAGTAACTGCCGACTCATGACTGTCCGATTTCAGGTAATTAAGCACACGAAGTACAGTACTGCTTCAGTTCCTCCCCTATTTGAAGAATCATTCAAGAAAGCAATATTGACGTTCCAGCATCAACGGGTTCATGGTTCCGTTTCTCAAGATATTGTGTATTTATCTGATGTCTGATGATGTTGTGGATGATTTCGACTTCTTAGGACCATATCCTTTATATTGTTAATCTCAGTTAACCATCTCATTACGTTCTTTTATTGTTTCGTTACTTCCTTGCTCCTCCTATTCTTTTCAATACATAAATTGTGGCTTAACCTGAGATACATCTGTACCACAACATATAGCTAAAGGTATAGCAGAAGTTGATATCGATCCATTTACCTAAATGAAATTCTAGGTATCGCCTGTGCGATTTACATAAGGATTAATTTTGTCCGATTGATTTTCTTCAATTCTGTTTACATATGTCTTGGAGCGTGTTAGTTTAGTCTGAGACTAAAGTAAATTTTCTTCTTTCCTCTTGGCATGAACAGGAAGAGAACGTTAGTGCCGACAGAACTTACCAACCTAAAATGTCAATCTTGGAAGGACAAATAAAAGGAAAGATTTGCCTGTGCAGAATACCTCCTGACAAAATATTTTTGTATCCTTTGAATCCCCTTTTTCTTAAGCTTGATTACATTACCTAGGTTTTAATTCAGCATATTGTGCTAAAAAATCAGTATAAAATAATGTTCACAGTATTGCATTTTTGTAGCTTATATTGTGCTTGAGCTCAAGTTCTGTAGTTTTCTTGGACAACTAAAGGCTTTGCCTCTCTTGAAGCAAAGACAAAATTCAGGCTCCGCGGAACTCACCTGATTCTCCAAGTCCAGTTGATGATTCTTCTTTCAGTCCCAGTGAAAATTCCTCTGCGGATGATGTTCCGTGTAAAACAAACTGCTCAAAGATATCCCTTGTTAACTCTGACAACATGGGAATTGAACCTCCTAGTGGTCATTGAGTTTCATAAATGGAGGTAAGGCTAGCCGACATTCACCTCTCCCAGACCCTGCTTAAAGCGGAAGCCTTGTGCATGTGTGCTAGGATAGCACCAAACCCGTTGGAACCAACTCAAGCTAACCCACAAGAAATTTATCAAATGAAATGCAAGAACAAAATATTAAAGACACCAAGATTTTAACGAGGTTCCTCAACAGTCAGTGTAACTGGAGTACGTCCTCGGAGCAGTAGGAGCTCACCCAATAATCCACTATCAACCAAATGGGAGTTTACGAAGTGTTGGCAATCTCACAACCCAAATAACCCAATACACCCAATAACTCTCACACACCACAGAAACAAATAGAGAAAGAAATATAATGAATAATTTCTTCTCTATACATGTAGCTCAAAGCTATTACAACAATAACTATGATGGATGATTGCTAACAAAAAAGAAGAGCACATTCTTCTTCTTTTCAACAAAGGGTTGCTGCACCCTTTCTATTTTCTGATGCTCTGCAGCTTGCACTCCTTTTCTCTGCAGCTCTCTTCTCTCTTCTCTCTTCTGCTCTAATCTGAAAATTGAGCTCTCTTTTTCTTCTCCTCTACCGAAACAAAACAATGAATTATTATTCAAAACAAGCCATCACTTTCGGCTAATAAAAAACCACAAAAGAAGAAAAACATCATCATGATGCCTCCTCATCATGATGTCTTTATAATTTTATAACCAAAAGTTTTTTTCTTTTCCTTTTTTTAATAGCCGAAAGTTGTTTGTTTGGCCATAATTCAACAATCTCCACCTTGGCCAAATTCCGAAAACACCATGATAAGCCAACCAACACAATCAACACAAAAATCACTCCCAAACACTAGCAAGAGAACAACTCATGCCGAGCCAAATGCTCCAAAACTCCTACTGCTCAACACCTTCTTTATATAGGCAAAATGTGAGCCAAGTTCAAACAGTGAACAAACTTGGCTACACCAACAACCTTAGTCAACATATCAGCGGGGTTGTCTTTAGTTGGAATCTTCTGGAGAATGATTTCCCCTTCACCAATAATTTCACGAACAAAGTGATAACGCACATCTATGTGCTTGGTCCTCGCATGATGAACCTGATACTTAGCCAAATAAATGGCACTCTGACTATCACAATGTACCTCCACCTGCTTCTGATCAACCCCCAAATCTCTAATCAGCCCATGTATATCCAAAATGGCCTCCTTTATAGCTTCAGCAACTGCCATATATTCAGCCTCTGTAGTAGAGACAAGGCAACAGACGACTGCAAAATGGACCTCCAACAAACTGGTCCTTTAGCCATAGTAAACACATAGCCTGTAGTAGACTTCCTTCCATCCAGATCACCTGCATAATCTGAATCAACATAACCAACTGCAAAATGACCAATACCAGAGTCATCTCTCTTAAAGCATAAACCAACATCTCGAGTACCATGGAGATATCTCAATATCCACTTAGCTGCTTGCCAGTGCTCTTTACCTGGATTATGCATATATCGACTCACCATGCCAACTGCATGAGCAATATCCGGTCTAGAGCATACCATTGCATACATCAAACTACCAACCAAATTTGCATATGGTATATTTTTCATTTGCAGCTTCTCTTTATCATTTTTAGGACATTGTAGAGAACTCAATTTAAAATGAGGAGCCAAAGGGGTACTAACCGGTTTGGTTGAATCGTGAACTCAAAACTTCCGAATCAACTTCTCAAGGTATTGTCTTTGATTCAAATTGACCAAACCCTTCTCTCTATCTCTAGTGATCTCCATGCCAAGGATCTTCTTCGCTTCACCAAGATCCTTCATCTCAAACTCATTCTTCATTTGCTTCTTCAATTTTTCAATCTCTTCAACATTTTTTGAGGCAATCAACATATCATCAACATATATCAACAAATAAATGAAAGACCCATCTTGCAACTTCTTGAAGTACACACAATGATCATATTGACTTCTAGAATAATTTTGGCCTCTCATAAAATTTATCAAACCTCAAAATACCATTGCCTTGGAGATTGCTTCAAGCCATAAAGTGATTTCTTCAATTTGCAAAACAAATTTTCCTTCCCTTTCACTATATACCCATCCGGTTGACACATATAAATCTCTTCATTCAAATCACCATGTAGGAAAGCCGTCTTCACATCAAGTTGCATAAGCTCAAGATCATATTGTGCAACAAGAGCTAACATAATACGAATTGAGGAGTGCTTCACAACTGGAGAAAATATTTCATTGTAGTCAATGCCCTCCTTTTGTGCATACCCTTTAGCAACTAATCTTGCTTTAAATCTCACATTGCTTTTCTCATCAGCATCTTCCTTCTTGGCATACACCCATTTGCAACCGATAGCTTTCTTGCCCTTAGGCAATTTAGCTAACTCCCAAGTCTTGTTCTTCAAGAAAGAATTCATCTCATCACCCATGGCATTGCACCACCTCTTCTTCTCCTCACTCTCAATGGCTTCCTCGAAATTAGATGGAATATCATCAGTGATAATAGGAAGAGCAAAAGAAACATAGTCACTATACCGAGCTGGCTTGGTAATTTGTCTCTTTCCTCTGTTTTTGGCAATAGACTCTTGAGGTGAAACTTGCTCTTCAACTTGAATAGAATCTTCAAGTTCAACTTCTTCAACATCCTCATGGTCTCCCACTTCTTCACTTGTAGTGGCTTCGACATCAGCGGAAATATGATTTGAAGTACCAGAGGCAACTTTCTCAAGCTCCACCTGTTGGACATCTTTCACATTCTTCTCAGAGACTTTGTACATACTTTCTTCGTCAAATGTCACATCTCTACTAATTACCAGTTTCTTCATCTTTGGACACCACAACCTGTAACCTTTGACACCACTACTAAAACCAAGAAAGATAGCCTTTTTGGCTCTAGGATCAAGTTTATTTTCAGTTACATGAAAATAAGCAGGTGAACCAAAAATACGAATATGATCATAATCAGAAGAAGGTTTTCCAGTCCATACCTCCATTGGTGTCTTACCCTGAATAGCAGCTGAAGGTAACCGGTTGATGATGTGACATGCATAATTAACTGCTTCTGTCCAAAATGACTTGCTTAAACCCGACTGAGACAACATACATCTAACCTTCTCAAGCAAGGTTCGATTCAATCTTTCTGCAACTTCATTTTGTTGTGGAGTTCCCCGAACACTAAAATGTCTCACAATTCCTTCCTCTTTGCAAACTTTAAAGAAAGGGTCGGATGTGTATTCACCACCATTATCCGATCTCAAAATCTTAATCTTTCTCCCAGTCTGGTTCTCAACCATTTTCTTCCAACTCAAGAAAATGCTCAACACCTCACTCTTGTGCTTCATAGTGTAGACCCAAGACCTTCTTGAATAATCATCAACAAAGGTCACGAACCAATGTCTACCACTCAAAGAGGGAGTCTTTGTAGGACCCCAAACATCCGAATGCACATAATCAAGAATGCCCTTCGTCTGATGTACAGCAGTACCAAACTTCACTCTAGTTTGCTTCCCCAAGACACAATGCTCGCAGAAATCAAGCTTACAAGTCGTGGCACCTTTTAGAAGACCTTGTTTCACAAGCCCTTGTAGAGCTTTCTCACCGGCATGGCCTAATCTCATATGCCACAGTCTAGTAGTATCTGAATCAGATGTGCCCATATTTTCAGAGACTACAAATGCTTCACCTGTCACAGTGCTTCCCTGCAATAAATACAAATGGCCACATCTAGGAGCTTTCATCACAACAAGTGCACCATAAGTAACTTTCAATGTCTGTCCATTTGAATGAAACCTGAAACCCTTGGATTCCAAAGTACCCAAAGAAATAAGATTTTTCTTCAAATTCGGTACATACCGAACACCTGTCAACTCTTTAACCATGCCATCATGCAACTTCAAACGAACTGTACCAATCCCTTTTGTTGTGCAAGGATTGTCATCTCCCATAAACACAACGCCACCATCAAACTCTTTCAAGCTTGAAAACCAATCCTTGTGAGGAGTCATATGATGAGTACAACCCGTATCCAACACCCATTTAGTAGCACAATCAAAAGATGAGGAAGTGGTTAAAGCAAAATCAGAAAAATCTGTTTCAACCTCAGCAACATTAGCTTCAGAACTTTCTTTGCCTTTGGTCTTCAATTTAGGATAATCTTTCTTCCAATGGCCCTTATTACGACAAAAGGCACATTCATCCATTTCCAAAGGTTTTCTACCTTTAGAGTTTCCTCTAGGTCGAGACTGTGATTTTTTCCTGCTAGAAGATGACCTCCTCTCCGATGATCTACCTCTAACAAATAAAGCTTCAGAGGTACTATCATGATTTTTATCTCTATGCCTCATTTCATAATTCATCAAGGCATTTGACACATCTTCAAATTTCACAGTTTCTTTACCATGCATAATAGTGGTAACAAAATGCTCGTAAGAGTCCGGCAAGGAATTCAACAATATTAAGGCCTTATCTTCATCCTTAATATCCTCATCTAAATTTAACAAGTCGGCAATCAACTTATTAAAAGCATCAAGGTGTCTAATCATTTTTGTACCTTCTTTGTATTGGAAGCGGTAGAGCTTTTTCTTCAAGTGTAGCCGGTTCTCTGCATTCTTCGTCATATACTTGTCTTCCAATTTTTGCCACAACACACTTGCTACCGTCTCCCGCATCACAAAATACTTCTGAGTTTTTGCAAGGCACAACCGAATTGAAGAGCAAGCCCACAAATTTAATTTCTCCCATTCCGACTTCGACATAGCTTCCGGTTTTTCTCCCAAAGCGGCAAGTAGATCTTGTTGAGCCAACACATCTTTAACCTCACATTGCCACATCCCGAAGTTGTTTGTGCCATCAAACTTTTCCACTTCGAACTTTGCATTTTGCACCGTAGTTCTTGCAAACCCGGAGGTGCTTTCAAAAGGATTTTCATCTTGCCCGTCTGACATCTTTGGCAACTAGACAGTACCCAAGAGCAACCAGTGCTCTGATACCAATTGTTGTGCTAGGATAGCACCAAACCCGTTGGAACCAACTCAAGCTAACCCACAAGAAATTTATCAAATGAAATGCAAGAACAAAATATTAAAGACACCAAGATTTTAACGAGGTTCCTCAACAGTCAGTGTAACTGGAGTACGTCCTCGGAGCAGTAAGAGCTCACCCAATAATCCACTATCAACCAAATGGGAGTTTACGAAGTGTTGGCAATCTCACAACCCAAATAACCCAATACACCCAATAACTCTCACACACCACAGAAACAAATAGAGAAAGAAATATAATGAATAATTTCTTCTCTATACATGTAGCTCAAAGCTATTACAACAATAACTATGATGGATGATTGCTAACAAAAAAGAAGAGCACATTCTTCTTCCTTTCAACAAAGGATTGCTGCACCCTTTCTATTTTCTGATGCTCTGCAGCTTGCACTCCTTTTCTCTGCAGCTCTCTTCTCTCTTCTCTCTTCTGCTCTAATCTGAAAATTGAGCTCTCTTTTTCTTCTCCTCTACCGAAACAAAACAATGAATTATTATTCAAAACAAGCCATCACTTTCGGCTAATAAAAAACCACAAAAGAAGAAAAACATCATCATGATGCCTCCTCATCATGATGTCTTTATAATTTTATAACCAAAAGTTTTTTTCTTTTCCTTTTTTTAATAGCCGAAAGTTGTTTGTTTGGGCCATAATTCAACAGTGCACTGGGTACGACCTTTTTTTTTTTATCATTTATTAATCAACTGTCGTTACACTTTATAAATTATCTCTGTCTTCTCTAGGTATAAGATGACCTCGACACTGATGTCCCTGATTTATTAGAATCTCAAAATCATGGTAATGATATAGTTTCCCCTTGATAACTTCATGGATCCAGTTTTAGTTTTCTGGTTACTAATAGTTGCAACTCACTTGAATTTATGTTCCTGACATTGAAAGACATGGTTTGCATGAGACGAAGTCCAGAAAATACATTGTTGCAACAATCCAGACATATTCTATTCATAAGCCTTGTCTAACGCTGCATACGGAGCGTGAATGTAAGAATGCCCCAGACACAGTTGAAGGTGGTAAGACAAGAACGGAGCACAGAAAGGTTATTGTAAGTTCTCATTTCAAGGATAAGTCAATCAATAAACACAATCCGGAAGATAAACAAGAAAAGCAATTGCTAAAGGATGATCTTGCTATTGTTATGCACGAGGATGCAGTTCCTGAGAGTGCTTAGTTTGAGAATAGCTATTTTAAAGGCAAAGTTGCGAAAAGGACAACCTCCCCACATGACAACGTTCAAATGGTAGGCGTTTTCCTCTCTCTTTTGATTTTATGCTTATAACGTTAGTGTCTGTGACTGTTTTTCGTATAACACTAATGTTTAACTACTTCAGGAAAATGTGAAACTAAAACAACTGTGTATCAGTGCATCCCTTCCAGATGATGGTAAGTGTTACTCGAAACTCAGAAAAAATAGTAGAGCACTCTTGTTCACTTACTGATCCATGCTAATGCCAAGCTTCTTATCTTATATCGTATTGAATCTTTCATCTGAGCAAATATTTTGTTTTGTTTCTTCAATGTAGGTTCCTGTGCATCTAGCCTGAACAAAACAATTACAGACACAAATAAAGAAGGAAAATTCAGATCCAATATTTCCCTTTTAGGCCGTTATTCAGATATAGCGAAGAAATCAATGGAAAGATATGTATCAGTAATATCATCATTTATATTTTCCTCGTCTAGTTCTCATGCAAGTG